GCAGGGTGCTCACTGACCTTGAGCTAAATTCATCGACTAGTTTTGTCTTCCTTGCTCTGAAGCAGCATCTGCAGTGAGTGTCTGTCCTCCATCAGACAAGGGCTGAATCGGTGTTTTACAGTTCAGGTCAGGATGCGGAAAGCGGTGAACACAGTGTTTGCCTTGAGGACGTTACCTCTTCTGTACCCAGTCTGTCCCTTTCAGTAGGGAACATGCTTCACAGGGCCAAGTACAGCATAAGCAGTTGCACATGTTTAGGGTAGCAGCCTAAACAGGAGAAGGGCGAGAAGAAACTGGTCGGGGAAGTGCTAAGGAGCCTCGTTGCTAGGTTTTGACAGGTTATACTCATTCATAATCCGCTGCATGCAGGGTTTTTATGGTGCTCTCAACATGTATTTCAGATTGAACTCATTGATCGGGTGGATGACATCTATAGAAATACGTCCTGGGGCAACAACATGGAAGGATACGGGGTGCAGATCAACCAGGTGAAGTCTGTGCGATGAGACTCTTGCTCGGAGAACAGTTTCTGTCCCCGAACTATTCGGGATCGTGAGGTCTTCGGCGAATTGTAGATTTCAGAAGTTCCAGTAGGGAGCTGCGTCAGTTGTAAAGGAACAGGTGAAGGTTTATTCCATGCTGAAAAGAAAAGAGATGCAACGTTGTGGCTGTGGAGCCTTCTTCGGCTGTGGATACTGCCGATACCTCTTCCTCACCCGAAGAAGGCTCCACAGCCGAAACGTTGTGTCTCTTTTCTTTTCCTTTCAGCAAGGAATAATAATATTTTTCTTGTTCCTATGCAACACCAGGGGCAGTTTTCCCAGAAGCCAATTAATCTACCACTATGGCTTTGGACTGTGGGAGGAAACCCCACATGAACATGCAAACTCCACCCAGACAGCACCCCAGGGCCAGAACTGAAGCCAGGGCCCCAGCAGTGCGGGGCAGCGATGCTGACCACTGTGCCGCAGTGCTGTCCCGACATCGATAGTTGTTGGCAAATGCATAAACATCAGGTGTTATCCTGTTCTTTATGCACTTGAACACACAAGCCTTCATTATAAAAAAAATTAAAAAGTAATACAAAAAAATGAAAAGAAAATTTCTCATCTGAGATAAGCGAAAAGTAGGATCTCTGCAATGCTTTAGGAGAGCCAGACTTGTAAGTGAAAAAACAGGTAGGAATAACTGTATCTCGTATAAACAAAAACTCGTATACCAGTTGCACGTATAGCGGGTAATTTTTCTGTCCGCACAGATGGTAATTAAAATTTACAGAGCCTTTACCCGAAGCATATTTGGTGGAAATTATTAATTGCTTCCTAGTGGATGCTTTCTAGTTTTTTATTATAATGATTTGAAGCATTGTGTTGGGTATTATTGTACAGTTTGTGCGGTGTACTTCCTTTCTGTGGGAACACACATTAATTGGCATTAAAAGCCGAAAATAAACACACAGCCATGAACTGCTGCAGAGCCGAAGTTAAACCGAGCAAGTGGAGGGCTGAGCTCCAGGCGTGACGGGCATTTGAGCCGCGATGTTCATTGAAGTCAACTCGCCATGTGTCGTAATTAGCAGATATTGACTGTTCTGGCATGGGAACGCACATCATCGAGTGGTTCATTTCCGAAGTAGCGCCGCATGTTTTAAAATTAGGCACCAGAGCCCAGAGTGCCTCACAGTAGCTGTGCTGGCAGACCAAGCTCTCTGAAGTGAGGTTCAACGGCAGGTTTCTCACCATCATCTGTTAAAGCAATGAGGTCGTTTTGGTAGGTTATTCAGGGTTTTTGTCTTTTTCTTCCTCCATTGATTTTAATTACGCCAAAACACCATTGGTCTGCTCATTCTGCATGACTCAGAACTAGACGCCAGTGCTGGTCATTCCTGTCTTACACAGTAGTCAATCAATGTATTATTTATATATATATACAGTATTCATTTGCTGTTTTTCAACACAGTTTTTTAACGCTCACCATGGCGTTGGTTCGGCCTGGTCTGCGACGAGCCGGCGAGGTGCCTGTCGCGTGCCCTGTGCCCTCTGCCCAGTGCTTTCTGGGCCTCTGGGCTCTGACCCGTCACGGTCTTTTCAGGTCATCGTCAACAAGGAGCCCACTGTGCCACTGGCGGAGCGCGGGAAGCACTACAACATGCAGGACAGCCCGGATGGGAAGGAAGTGTGGGATGTGAAGAAGCTGCTGGAGGTGGGTGGGGTGCGGGCGGGAGCCAGGCAGGGGGGCAGGGAAGACCTCTGGCCCCGTGTGGACGGGCCGCAATGTCTCGTCCGGCCCCGGAGTCCTTGATGAACCACCCTCCCCACACAAAAGTCGCCGCAGTGTCCGCCTCTCTCTCTTTTCTAGCTTCATGCAGCGTTCAGGTGGTTTTTTTTATACGTCCTGCACCAAAACCGTTTTTTAACTTATCGATAGGCGAACAGAAAGGTTTTCCATCATCCAACAACTAAACAACAAGTAACGGCAAAGTGTTGTTTTTTTGTTGTTTTTTTTGTTGGTGACGCGTCGTGTCTGATTGTTTTCCAGTGGCAGGTCAGTGATGACACGTTGTGTTTCTAAGGGCTGGTCTACGCTGTTTCAGAGACTGTTTGGTTCGCTGTTAGTTGTTATGGCAGCCACCGAGCAGGAAAGCTGAAGCTTGCGTTTCTGCATTTTAATAAAGATTATTACGTTAATTTAAAGGACAGAAGTTGTCCTCTGATCCCGTGTGCCAGGGATGACCGCCTGGCCTAAAAATAGTCACGGCTGTAAATATTAAGCTCAGAATGTAGACATTTGACGTGATTTGAATGCCTTGTCTAACTCGTATTTCCTTAGTGTTCATTTTTTTTGTCATTGTTTCTGCTTAGTACCTTGGTCCTTCCAGCCGTCTTCCGGAGAAACGGGTTTATAGGGCTGTGATGAGGTTAGGGCAGCGAGGACAGGGGTGTGTCGGAGCCAGAAGCTTCATTCACAGGCCGCTTTGAGAGGACTCCTCAGAAGCCAGGTTTGCTGGAGATCATAACACACAGCAGTGAAATGACTAAAGAGAATTGTGCCCAGAAAAAGAATAAGAAATATTAAAAGTCGTTTGTCGTTAAAGTCGTTGTCGTTAAAGCCGTTGAAAAGCGGGACTGTCCACGTCCCGCGAGGACGTGAACCCGTGCGGCGTCTCGGTTAGCAGCGCGCCGTGACAGGCGTGGGAACTGAGAGCGTCTCCCGTCTCCGCCCGCAGCAATTCAGTTCGGACATCGCGGACAACGCCTCCAAAGTCTGCCTCGCTCACCTCTTCACCTACCAGGACTTCGAGCACGGGACGCTGGGCCTGGCGTACGTCGGCTCGCACAAGAAGGAAGCCCTCGGCGGCCTCTGCCCCATCCGTGAGGACCGCTCCTGCGCTTTCGCCGGGGGGGTTGTGTGTCTGGTCGTGAGTTCTGCAATGCGCGCCGTGAGCAGAGGCTGCCCTTCCTAAGGGAGAGGGACGCGGGTACGAGCAGTCCAGAGCCGCGCCTTCATTAAGACGTCCCTCGCCTTTCTGCCACAAGGCTGGACATCGCGATTTCTCAACTCCTGCTCCTCGCTTGTTCTAATTTGAGCTTGAGGAGGACGAGTGGACTGCAAAGACTAGGTTTCCTGTCCTCTTAATTTGAGCTTTGATGAACAGAAAGTGATGTAAGCATACAGGTTTAAAGATTATTCAAGTATGTGAGTTCTGCACCCAGAACATTAATGAAACTGTTTCATTATTATTATTATTATTATTATTATTATTATAATTGACTATTCCAACAATATATTTATATATATAAACCATAAAAAATCAAACCCCTTTAAATGTGTTAACCTGGAAATAAAACCAAGGCCAGGTCCGTAGAGGCAGGAGGGCCACGGAAGACAGCCTCAGCTCGCGGACAAACATTTTAGCAAGCAGTCGGGTGTCGGAGTGTCCTCGGGTCCGGCCAGGGAGGGGCTGGAGGGATGGACTGCTCCCAAGAAACCAGTGTGCATACTTCACTGGGAGCTGGAAATGATGTCATGAAAAGAATGAAGTAGAGAAATGTCAAAAATTGGCTCTGATGTTAAAATTATGAAGTCGGATTTCAGGAAGTACTAATGATGGGTGCAGATTCCAAAGTTTCAGTTCCAGACCGAACGCTTGTGCGTTTTGTTCAGAGGAAGGGTGCAGATTGCTCTCTGTGAAACGGGGGAACAGAAGATTTCCCGTCTAGAGGTGTGCTGGGGGGTTGTAAGACAACTTAGGAACAGGGCAATTAGATCCTGCAAATTGTTCTGTTTGGCTTATTTTTCCATCACGCAGATGATCCCAGACATACGGCAAACGTGGTTTAAAGGCAATTTGCAGGCTAAGGGGAGACGAATTTCTGAATAGTCTCTGCAAAGGCCAGATGATTTTGATTGATCACACAGGAGATTCTTTTGAAACAGCCGTTTAAAAACTGAGGAATGTGTTAAAGGAACCCAGAGTACAGTGTTTGCATTACTGTGACTGCAGACTTGTACTGTACGTTAAACATGAAGAAACTGACTTTGAGTCAGTTTTAGTTTTAATAGATGGTCAATTACGGTGATCTAAAAAATGAACACTATTGCTGAAATTAGCCAAATGTTTGCACTGTGGATATAGATACGAAAACTTGCACCATAATGGCCATTGTTTTGTTAAATTCTTACTCTTCTGCAGCCTACAAACCTTCATCTTCAGCCAAACCAATTTATTTGAACACTGGATTAACCAGCACAAAGAACTATGGGAAAACCATTTTAACTAAGGTCAGTAAAAATCCACTTTTTAGTCAAATAGTACAGAATCTGGAAAAATAACCTGAATTTTAGCGAGAAATTTGATATATGTTTGGGTCAGAGATCTAGCTTTGGAATTCGTTGTTTTTTATAAGTTATGTTAGGAAACAGGAAGGAGAGGTAGCGATTAGGACAAGCTCAGCAGTGTGCCTGTACTGATGGCTGATTGCCATGCTGAGAACCTTTTGATTTTAATTTAGACTCTGTAGCTACAACCAGTTCACCTCTCTGCAATCCACAGATACAGTATATGAGCTGCTTTAAGAAACAGGGATTGGTTTAACACGTGTTTTGCAAATGTTTAACAAACTTTTGCCCACGCCACACTCCCTGATTTATTCTCCCAAAAAAGTATTAATGAATCGACTGGTGTCCAAACTTTTGCACATAGTGCATTCATTGTTTTATTTTTTTTTCAGTCTGGTAAATTCAGCAAATAAATAGTAATTGTGCATTAACGTGTGCAAAAATAGGTTGTGTTAACTTCTTTTCACTTAGAGATTTTTCTGCGAAACAAAGAGTCTGGCCACTTCTGCACACGACTGTAAATCGCTGAATGTAATGCTAGGAAACGGGTCCCGTCCATAATGGTGTCCTTGTGTTTTCGGCAGGAGGCAGATCTGGTGACCACTCATGAGCTGGGCCACAACTTTGGCGCTGAGCACGATCCAGACAATGTGAAAGTCTGTGCGCCCAACGATGACCAGGGGGGCAAATACGTAATGTACCCCATCGCTGTCAGCGGAGACCATGAGAACAACAAGGTGCTTTTTTGTTACGGTTTGCTTTTGTTTAAATGAATAATTCCTTACACTTCTATAGCACAATTCTGGACACTGGAGTTGCTCGTAAAAGGAAAGTCGTCTACCGGGTGTATATATATGTAAAAAAATCATAATAATGACTTCTGCCACATAAACACCCTGGACTGGACACCTGGACACAGATGCACACACTCACACCAGGGCCAAGCTTCCCAGAAGCTGTATACTACTACTCTATTTATATAGGGCTTTTCTGGACACTCCACTCAAAGTGTTTTACAGGTAATGGGGATCCCCTCCACCACCACCAGTGTGCAGCCCCACCTGGATGATGCGACGGCAGCCATAGTGCACCAGTCCTCTCCCCACACACCAGCTCTCAGTGGGGAGAACAGAGTGATGAAGCCAGTTCAGAGATGGGGATTATTAGGAGGCCGTGATGGATAAAGGCCAGGGGGAAATTGGGCCAGTACACCAGGGTTACTCCTACTCTTTTCGAGAAACGCCCTGGGATTCTTAAATAAACGCAGGTCTTGTCTGGCCTCCATTCTCATTGTGTATTCTGAAATAGGTGAGGCGGGTCAAGGGTGTTTCTCTGCGACTGCTGCTGGTTGCTCCACCGGGATCAAGCAGAAAGGCGTCATGTCTCATGCCCGCAGGCCGAGGACAGTTCAGTACATGCAGCTTGACGTCTGTATAGTCCTTCAGTACAGCGTCAGATGCTGCCGTGACATCTGCGCTCGTCTCTCTCTCCCCCCCCAGAGGTTTTCAACCTGCAGTAAAAAATCGATTTACAACACACTGATGAAGAAGGCGAACACCTGCTTCAAGCCGAGGAACAGCCAGCTGTGCGGCAATTCGCGGGTGGAGCAGGAGGAGCAGTGCGACCCGGGCATGCTGCACCTGAAGGACGACCCCTGCTGCACCTCCAGCTGCAAGTTTAGGCCCCACGTCAACTGCAGGTGAGCAGCGCGTCTCTCAGGCTGCAGTTATTAAATCTCGCTGACAGAATAAATGAACTGACATTATGGGAAGAAATGGGCCAATTCTGAATTAAGCGCAAAATCGCGAACTTTGTAAAAGTCGCCCATGTTGTCACAGACTGGCCTTGGAGTCCCCACGATTTGCGAGGTGAAGCGGCCCTTCCTGCTCACTGGTCGCTGTAATGGCTAATGTACTGTGATGTACGAGCGAATAAAGACAGGTTGCGCAGTAGACGTTCGCCGCAGAAGTGTTCCAACGTCACCTGCATGCAGAGTTAACAAGTGCGTTGTTAAATGCCAAAACCTTCCATTGAGTTAAAGAGACGTATTCACAGGCCAAATTCTTTACAGTGTTGCCTCATTCTGAATCACAGAACATGGGGCTGTGCAGACAGTGTGGTTGGGGAGGGGGGCGATCCTATTCTGATTCACTGTACTGCACTACAGTGAATGTAGATAGAGTACAGAGAGGGCTCTCTTTGTCGAGAGCAGGCAGGCCATGGAGACTGTGCCATCGCTTCTTTAAAAAAAACAAACTGGGCGAGATCTTCTGATGAATTAGATCCCCGAATATGTGGGCCAGATGGACTCCTGTCTTTGTTTTATAGCTATGGGTATTGTCCACAACATATTGCAGTGAGGCAGAAGAAACAGGGTAACTGAAAAGGCTAAGTTAGGGAATTCTTCTTCTTCCTCTGTACAGGACTGAGAAATTTCCTTATCACATATAGAAATAACATATGCTTATGTTAACAGACCTCGTCTGTTTAAAACTAGGCACCTACTTTCATCTGTTTTACTAATAATGGATTTGTTCTTTCTGTGTTTGGTTCAGTGATAGAAACAGCCCCTGTTGTAAGGACTGCATGTTTGAGAAGGCTGGGAAGATCTGTCAGGAGCCCATCAGCGCCACCTGCAAGGGGCAGTCCACCTGCACAGGTGAGTGCACTGTGCCTTTCTGTTTAATTGTCGACCGCACTGATACAGGATCTTGCTCACCGGGACACAGAAAACCTGTTTAAAAAGAGATCCCAGCAGCTATATCGCCCTGCAACTCACAACTGGCTGTTCACTGAAGCTCAGCAGGTGTGAGTCTGGCCAGTACCTGGATGGGAGACTCCTGGGAAAAACTAGGGTTGCTGCTGGAAGAAGTGTTAGTGGGGCCACTAGGGGGCGTTCACCCTACGATCTGTGTGGGTCCTAATGCCCCAGTATAGTGATGGGGACACTATACTGGAAAAAGGTGCCGTCCTTTGGATAAGATGTAAAACCGAGGTCCTGACTCTGGTCATTAAAAATCCCAGGATGTTTCTCGAAAAAGAGTAGGGGTGTTACCCTGGTGACCTGGCCAAATTTCCCCCTGGCCCTTACCAGTCATGGCCTCCTATTAATCCCCATCTATGAACTGGCTTCATCACTCTGTTCTCCTCCCCACTGAGAGCTGGTGTGTGGGGAGTGTACTGGTGCACTATGGCTGCCGTCGCATCATCCACGTGGGGCTGCACACTGGTGGGATCCCCATTACCTGTAAAGCGCTTTGAGTGGAGTGTCCAGAAATCATTGACTATTATTATTAGATCCCGAGTGCCCAGGGGCTCGGTTTCCGATGGAGCTTCCCGAGGCTCACCCTGGGGTGTTTGTTGTGTGCGCACTCCAGGAAGCAGCAGCGAATGCCCCGCCCCGCCCAACGCTCCTGACGGCACCACCTGCGTGGACATGGGCCGGTGCCGCGCCGGCGAGTGCATCCCCTTCTGCGAGGCCGTGGCCAACCGCAAGCCCTGCGCCTGCAACGGTAAGGCCTCCCGCGCGCCGGCTGAGCCCTTTCGTCCGCTGGCTCATGCTTCACACCCGGACTCGCCAGCTGCGAGCCGCCCGAGGTCCTTTATTGAGGCTGCGCGTCGTGTGTGACACGTGGAATCGCGAGCCGTGTTCTCGCCTCCTCGTCGGCGAATCTCGCCGCTCTCTGCCGCAGCCTTTCCTTCTTCTTTAAGCTTCGCCCCGCTTCATTCATCAGCTGGTTTAACAAGCGATGGAGGACATTCTCATCGGTGCTCCTCTATTGCCCACACTCAGTGTACTTCGGGGCAAAATCAGAACTGATGGATTTTCGTCCGTTTCCTGTGAATACGTTTCAAGGCGCCGGCATTTAAAACGTGTGAGATTGCCGTGTCCTTGGTGTGTTAGTTCATCCGTTCCTCTGTGGCACGAACGTCTCTTTCCACCAGAGAGGAACATTTCTGTTTGGGTTGTTTTTTGGGTGGGCAGGGGGCGCTGTTGGGAATTGACTCGTGCCCAGCTGGTAAAATAACCGTATCGGCTACTCTGGACCCTCTCTGATACCGTTCTTCTTTCTGTCTCTCGTGCCAACAGAGACCGACGACTCCTGTAAGGTGTGCTGCAGAAACAAGGAGGGCATGTGCGTGCCGTACAAGAACTCCACCACGGGGCAGTTTCTGTTCCTGCGCAAAGGCAAGCCCTGCACCGTGGGCTTCTGTGAGGAGAATGTAAGTGCCGGGGCACGGCGTCAGAGCTCGTTCGTCAGGTGAAAAGACCCCGTCCTGCCGTGGGACCGTGCCAGGACAGTACGGACCTCCAGGGTTTTTGACAAATTCACAAGCAGAAAGCAGGAGGGTGGCGGTCACCACAGGGGACTGTGTCCACGTCCGAGTCTGCTTTTACGTAGCGATGTGAACCAGCCTTTTTCTTCTGCACGCTGATGCTACTTGGCAAATGGCACACTGATGTTCCTGTAAGATCAGAGTTTCCCAGCCCTAGTCCCGGAGACTCGCACACCTGTCAGCTTTTATTCCAGACAGGCTGTCCGTTACGCCATTGAGTTTGTAATCGCCGTATTAACAGGATTAATTTGCACTGCGTGACTGTTTTCAGATTTTAAACCTGCTGGAGGCAGGCTTTTAACTGTTGCATTGCCTAATTAAAATCAAATCCCAAACTCTTTTCAGTCGCAAAAACCAATGCTTGCAAACGTTACAGTCAGTACAGCTCGTTAATTCCATTAGGGCTTGCATGAAGTCATTCAGCTCAGCTCAGTGGGGATGATATCCAGCAGCTGTGCGGGGCTGCGAGACTAGGATGGGGAGCCCCTGCTGTAAAGGTTTTACATCCGATGTCCCTCAGTTAATTAAGGAATTCCTTACGCTTATATAGCGCTTTTCTGGACACTCCACTCAAAGTGCTTTAGAGGTCATGGGGACTCCCCTCCACCACCACCAGTGTGCAGCCCCACCTGGGTGATGCGACAGCAGCAATAACGCACCAGTATGCTCCTCACACAGCATCTCTCGGTGGGGCGGTAAACAGTGAGAGGAAGTGATGAATTAGGAGGCCATGATTGGTAAAGGCCAGGGGGAAATTTGGCCAGGATGCTGGGGTTACACCCCTACTTTTTTAGAGAAACGCCCTGAGATTTTTAATGATAACAGAGTCAAGATAATGACCTTGAGAAAGACGACACAGTAAACATTTCCTTGCTTTTCTGCCATTTAAACATGTTGGGGGGGCAAAAACGAAAGAAATTAAGTACAGTATTTTTTTCATCCATACTTCTGCTGCTTCCACTAAAATACGCAAAGACTCCTGTTCCTGCTCTGGCACTGGCACGTCCTTTGTCTTCTTCCAGGGGAAATGTATGAAACAAATTCAGGACGCCATCGAGCGGCTTTGGGATTTCATCGACAAGCTGGACATCAACACTTTTGGTGAGCATCGTCTCCCGAGAAATACAAAAGGGCTGTTATACTGTACGAGAGGTGCAGCGTCTTGTATCCTCAGACAACTGGGGGGAGCTGGGGGAGGGGGAAGGTTTCAAGTTTTTAATTAGTACAGTATTGAGGCACGTGGAGCAATTTTGGTTCACATTCGCTCACAAGAGTCGGCGTTGACTCTGGGAAATTGTTTATCTCGAGGGTGACTCCTGACTTCAGTATATCCGGGATAACCAGGAACTGAAAGCTGGATTGATTGCTCATTTGGAGAGGAGTGCTGGCCTTGGGGAGGCCAGGGAGGATCACAGTAGCGAGTAGGCCGAAACAGTTAACGAGTTAGTATCTGTCCCATTTAGCATGCTGGTTTTTGGGAGGATCGTATTCCTGCCAGATTTACCCCTGTACAGTAAGGGGCTGTAACTGAAGTGTTGGGCTTTTTAAATCTGGGGTTCATACTCAACGTTGTTAATACTTATTTCAGAAAATTGTTTCAAGCTCTCGTACCAGGGTTTCCAGACAAAGTGGAACAGGTGAATGTTTTCTTGCTCTCCGCAGGGAAGTTCCTTGCTGATAACATTGTGGGCTCAGTCGTGGTCTTCTCACTCGTCTTCTGGATTCCCCTCAGCATCCTGGTCCACTGCGTGGTACGTACAGCACAGGAGCCTTGGCGATCTCGCTTCCTGTGTTCATCTGGTGTGCTCTCCAAACCAGCTGCCTGAGTCATAGTTAAACTTCTGAAGTGTTCTTGAAATAATTCATTCAGCTGTCCTGCTCAGAAGTGCACGTTTTTAAACTTCACCTCTGATATTTTTTTACATCACCTGTACAGATGATATTTTTACACCTGTGCTTAATTTTTCAGGACAAAAGGCTTGACCAGCAATATGAAGAGAACAACAAGTCTCTGTTTTACCCCAGTGTAAGTGTTGGGTAATACTTTTGGGTCATTTTCCCGCTTTGCCCCTTGAACATAAGAAAGGGTAGGAGCAACGGGAGACCTTTAGCCAGTCTTATCTTCTTTGGAAGCTGGATGGATTTCATCTGTTTGTTTCTTAAAAGAAGCCAGGGTAATTGCTGAAAGCAACAGCTTGTTCCAGTCTCCCACAACCCTTTGGGCAAAGTTGTGCCCCGCGTTCTTGGGTTTTAACGCGCTCCTGTTGATCCTTAACGTGTAAGAATAAGGATTACTGTTGCTACGAGTGGCTGTCGAAGCAGTAGTTCCTTCTAAATATGATTTCATGCAAGAGGAAGGGGTTAATATCACAGCAGTTTCAAAGTTGTTGAATGCTCAGAGGCGCACACAAATGTATTACGTAGACATATATTGACGTGTAGAAAATATTTAGTATTTTGTGTTAGTCCTTTTAAAAATGCCGTTGTAACAGTTCAGACCCTGCTCGTTTCCCTGTGCTGCAGAACGCCGAGATGCTGAGCAGCCTGGAGTCCGCCTCCGTGCGCATCGTGAAGCCGCCCCTCCCGCTGGCCGGCCGCTTCCCACCCCCACATGCCCCACATGCCCCACATGCCCCACATGCCCCTCATGCCCCTCATGCCCCTCATGCCCCTCATGCCCCTCATGCCCCTCATGCCCTGCACGCCCCACATGCCCCGCACGCCGGGCACGCCTCCCACGCCGCGCACGCCGCGCAGCCCAACCCGCCGCCCCCCGCCGCCCCCGCGGGCGCAGCCAAGCTGGAGCCGCCCCGCATGGCCACCATCCAGGAGGACCCCAGCAGCGACTCGCACCTGGACGAGGAGGCGCTGGAGGAGGACTTCCCCAGCAGCGGCACGGCCGCCAAGTCCTTCGAGGACCTGACGGGGCACGGCGCCCCCCGCAGCGACAAGGCCCTGTCCTTCAGGCTGCAGAGGCAGGCCCGCGTCGACAGCAAGGAGACGGAGTGCTAGCCGCTGCTGCCGGGGGCGGGGAAAGCAACACTGTTTTCGTGACGCGGCCGCCCGCCGTCTGTAGATGGGTTCATACGCGTTAAAAAAAAATAATTCAAACTAACGCACCTTGAAGGGCAGTCCAAGGAGCCGGAACTGAAATAGACGTCCTGTAACGTTTGAGTGATGTTCCGCCGCTGACATTACTAGATTTTGGGGGGTGGGGATAAAGTGGAACATTTTTTTTTACCAGAAAAGAAGCCTGGTTCGGGTTACCCGGATGATGAATTCTAGAAACTGCTCTCTGAGGAGGCACCTCCCGGGTGGGTTCTGGGCTGTTTTCAGTGGGCCATACCGTTGCCCCGCTGTTCACCTTCAGGCTGGTCTCTCGCCACGAGCTTCTCGGCTTTTCCGCAGGTCGCTTCTGGACATGCTGGCCGGAGGAATGCGTGGGTCACAGCCGAGTGGAGTGCGATGACGGACCTCGCCGTCTTGGACGATATAAAACCCCCCAGTGAGGACCGAAAGGAATCTGTTCTGAGCATTGCCTGGTACGGCCATTGCTTCCGAAGTGTCTGAAAATTATAATTAGTTAAGCAGTTGAGTACCACTTTTCACTTTTTCAGTTTGTTTTTCCTCAAAACCTGAATCTTGACGGCGAGAGCTCGTTACTTTTTTGGTAGAATTTGAGCCTTCCTGCGAAGAGGAGGTTCTCGTCTAATGCGTTTCTCTTTCAGAAGCTTATCCTCAATGCAGCAGGGAAGCAGAACCTAAAATAAACAACACTCCGTTCTCAATTTTACGTTTATCAAAGTAGATTTCATGGTCCTACCAAATAGGAAAGTTTTAAGACTCTAAAATATCTGCTCAGTAGCAGTGTAACTGTGAATCTTGTTTAGTGCTGAAAATGGACACATTTTCATATAACATATGGGCTCTGTGCAATGAGCCTCAGCACTTGAAGTTGCAGACTGAGGTACTGTACAGATCTGCTGGCTCAAAGTCAGCAGTAGACTGAATTGCAAAGAGGTGCTTTCATCTGATTGATTGGACTTAACTGCAATCAAGGGCAGTATAAGCCACATTTAGCAGCTACTAGTCTGCTTACTAGTTGGGACTCATTATTGCTAGATTTGCCAAAACAATCACCATAACTGGTGTGGTTGCTTGGATAGAAAGTGAAACATTGTTTTGTGAATATTTTAATGGCAGATGATTGGTTTTCAGACCTAACAGTTTTGCCTTCACTATCCTTAATGCAGATGACCGTGTGCTAGTCATGTACTTTCTGATGTGCTGTACGATTGATTTTGTGCTATTAAGGGTCAGGAGCTACATTTCGTGCCTTAATACAATTCCAACAAAAACGTTAATGAAATTACAACACTGAAAGAAGCCATCAAGGAGTTAAGGTGAAATGGTCACCATTCTGTCTTCTAGGGGAACTGGTGACTCACTGAAAAATATTTTTACAGTATGAACTTTTCTTAGGTTAAAATATACAGTAGATATGTGAGCTGTGGTCCAATAACAGATCAATGAATTGCTGATAAAATACCCTCTTTTATCATTGTGGAGAGAGAGGCTTCCCATTTTGCCTCTCTGTATGGTCTGTGGAGGTTATTCGATAGACATTTGGACTGTGTGTGTCACTGCGTTGTTAATAATTCCGGTCCTCCTCCTGTTGATCAGCATCACTGTTTTTGTTTCACGATTGCTTTTAACATATGAAAAAGTAATTATAAGCATTAAAAAAAACCCTGAAGTTTAGCTATAGGTCAATGTACTGGTTCTATGCTGAGTGTTTATGCACAGACCGTATTCTCTGCTGCAACACTTCTACTTTATAACAAACTGGACTCGTAAGGTCACAGAGACATGCAGACTGTCAAAATTCATTGTTTTTCTACTCTCCCGTTATGATGTACCACGTATAACTACTCTATGATCTTAACCCATATCAAAACGTAAAATTTCCCACTTGGCATCCCATGTAGCGGACAGACCCCTAATCTCATAGGACCATGAAGGTTACAGAGAGGAGCAAGCCATCCGCCCCATCGAGCCCCTAGCGTAGTTAAGTAACTGATCGATCCACGTCCAGCCTCATCTCGAGGCAGGATGGCTGGTGATCCTCTCTCCCACGTCCCTCTGCAGCAAGCAGTGCCCACTCTTCACGGTTTTGAAAGTGCTTGAGTATCGTCGTTGTCCGAGCCCTCCGGATTGTGCCTATCCGCCCGCTCGCCCAGTCAAGAGTTCGGGCCCGTTTCACACGGCTTGCGCCACGCCGGAGGATCAGGCAGTTGTAGGGCCTGTGCTTGTCCGAGGAGCCAGCGGTGTGAAGCTGCCACCTGTGGCATTTTGACTGAACACCTCTAATTCAAACCCCTCCCCCTCCCCAAGAGGTGCTTGTCCGGGAGGCAGGGTGTCCTGCAGGAAGAACGTTTCTTCATTTACACTCCCCGGGCACAGCTCCACCCCTCCTCCTGGGTGAAAAGAGCCGGGTGCCAAGCGTCCTGGCGCGGACCGGATCGCACATTGTGCGCTGCTTTCTGGATCTGAGCGCTCGATCGCATGAAGGCTGCTGTTCCGGCAGCCCAACGTTTTTACATTTTTACGCCATTTCCTATGCATCTCAATTGTATTAATAAAATATGCCCCAATGTTATTAAAAGTTTTGTTTTATACAGCGTCGGTGGTCTTGCTTCTTCATTTTGGTAGGTGCCTGAAACATCTTCAGTGCAGTTGCAAAGTACGCCAGGATTTCTTTTTCTCCACTGATGCCTTAATTTCAGAAAACAGGTTCCGTAGGCAGGAAGAGTTTGACAAAATATTTCTCTTCAATGCTTCTTGCTTTCTTTGAATAGTACTGATGACTTGCAATAAAAAAACAAAAAAATGACCTAATGTTAGCTGCCTCCTTTCTGTGCCATTTAAGGGCTAACTCTGAAAGAGGTTGGCTCTGTAAAGGAGCATTTATACTCAATGACATAGCTGGTAAAATAATAAAGAAACTCCTCACCTGTAGCAATCCGTACTCTACTCAAGCAGTTACTGGTGAGTTATCTTTAGTTTCCAGGGAATTTGTGGGGGCATTTTCCTTGTCAAGGAGTACCCTGGGGCTGATATTCCACATGGAACATGAAAACCTGAGGGCTCTGGCACATTCAGAACTTGCTCCTTTTCCATGAAGCAGTTTAAATACCATCTTTATGCCTCGTACCCGTGAAACCACAGCACCTGGTGTTTGTCATTGCTTTCTTGGGGCTAATTTTGCTTTGAGTTTAGTCAAGTGAACTTCCCGTGAACCTGCAGTCTAATGGAACAGCTTGTAGTGCAGTGCCACAAACAGTGTACAATTGTGGCCTACAGTGGGCATGTATTCCTACTTCTTACTGCAGGTTTTTCTCCCCTAGTTACCCTGTCATTTACTTTTAAATTTAGAACATATTTCTTATGTTTTGGAGAGAGACACACAATACACACTCTTATATTCATGTTCAACACTGATACAGTCATGTTGTGGATAAGCTCAAGACACCCATTGCACGACCCTTTATCCCCCCAACACTGAAGAACTGCCCCACTGCTGACTGCTAATCAGTGCGAGCCGAGACACCGATACAGGCACAGGAGAGATGAAGACGGCCAGCACGCACCCTCCCAAATTCTTATTAGAGAACCACAAAGCAGAAAATAGTAGTGGAAACTGGGGGGGGGGAGTGCGTTTAAAATAAAACCGAGAACACTTCCTAGGGCAGTGGGGATGCGTTGTCGAACCTGATATTCTGTCTCCTTTCAAGAACATGGAAAACATGGGAACGAAAGTATCCCCTGGGTCACTAACAATCACAATCGCTAGTGGGGGCTGAGTGGCTTCCTGTCATTGGTGACCCTTCTGAAGTACTTCCTGTCACGTCGTCTTCCACTTCTTCACAGCAGAATCACAGAGCAGGCGGAACACTGACAGCATCGCCGAGAGGCGAGAAACGGGGGAAACACACAATCGAACGTTTGATCACGACTGCTCCAAATACCTACCGCAAACGACTTGAGCAAAATTATTTGACTATAAATGTGTTTCTGTTAGATTTATTATACACTTGTCAAAATCAACACTGAAATCTCCGCAAGTTTGTTTCTTCTCCGCGACAGCCAACGAGACCGTAGGAGACCGCGTGAGGAATGCTGTACAGCAAAAGCAGCAGTTTAAGAAAAATCATCTGAAGGAAGTACAGACGCATGTGACCACCTACACAGCTGAAAGGTAGAATTACATTGCTTTTTAACTAGACCTTGTAATGGCTGGTGGATGAACTCCGGGAAAAATGGGGAAAAAAGTGTAGCCTAGCTCCCCGGTGCATCACATACAGTACGGCTGCTTTCAGTGCAGCGAAGAGGAGCGGAGCCAGTATTGGGTCTTCCTCCCGGCCCGCGCAGGAAGGACACCCGCTGCGCTACTGCGCTGGGGGCCCCGGCAGGAGGCTGCTCTCCGGGTTCAGCGGGTCCACATCTCCCCAGTAGGGCAGGATCAGGGGCAGCGGGGCCACGCGCCTCTCCAGCAGGCGCCACAGCTGCAGCTCCACAAACTTGCTGCCCCCGTCCGACAGGTGCAGCCCGTCCGAGAGGTACGAGGAGAAGTCCTGGCGGGACACGGGGGCGCCGTTACGCTGGGCAGCGCAAGCGTCCCACAAGGGGGCCCTGCCCCCCAGCGTCCCACAAGGGGGCCCTGCCCCCCAGCGTCCACTGAACCGCTGGACAACGGGGCGCAGCGGGGTTTCCATCCCCGGTACTGAGCCTCAGCGTGAAGGCTGTTCGTGGGGAGCCGGGGCTGGGAAAAGCAGCATGGAGACTCTGGGAAAGCTGACACCAGGGAAAGGCCAAGCCTCTCCTAGACCAGGACTCTCACACACCCTGCCTGTTCCCGCAGCGGCTGGGGTCTTCCGGTTTCTGCTCCCACCGGACTAGCCTTTTAAACAACGACCCGAGTTATTTTCTAAACTAAACTCAGAAAGAGGAGTTTTCTCCAGGTCTTCTACAGTGGGTTTTTTTCCCCCCACACGACATTTTCTTCCTCACCCTGGAGTCCGGTTAGAGGTCGTGCAGTGATGGAGCTAAGGAAATGATTAGACCGGCTGTGGAACGGAGACGGGGGGGGACAGGAGCCAAAAAACACCCGGCCCTCAGGGAACCACACTCTGCAGGAGCCTCTCTGAAGGCAGGCCTAGGCATGGCTCAAATCCCATTATAAGCCAAGGCAAACTCGGCAATTTCCTGTCACAATACCACCTACTACTTGGTGGAGGTGGAGGGGAGTCCCCATTACCTGTAAAGCGCTTTGAGTGGAGTGTCCAGAAAAGCGCTATATAAGTGTAAGCAATTATTATTATTATTATTATTATTATTATTGTTACTATTTGAAAAGGGCAAACACATTCTCACAGAAACACTGAAAATAAGGTCCTTTCTTAAAGAATCTTACTTTAAAACTCTGTGGTCGGTCTAACTCTCGTCCTGCTTAGCATGCATTTGCCTAGCTTGCATTTTTCCCTCTCTCGTTTAGCTAAATCAGCTCGTTACTGGCTTAACTGTCAGGCGCTGTTCCTTCAAAGAGACTTTGAAACACCCGTCCTCCAGAGTTGGACCAGCATTTTGTAAAGCATACATCAAGAATGTATATCATCCTGTCTTTAGCCCTTAGTTTGTTACTGACTGTCCTCAGGTGAGCTCACCTGCCCGTCTTTCTGCATGAGAGTCCACAGGTCCAGAATGTCAGTCCCGCACTCTGCCGCTAACTGGACACAGGCCTCAGCATACTGCCCAGTCACAGCGTTGAGGCGGTTCAGAGGGCTGCCTAAGGAGGAAAAAAGGACACCTCACAGTTTCAGTATGAACAACACGTAGATGACAAAATATTCACTGACAGGGTCATCTACCAGAGTCAGACACTGCTCCTGGAATGGATGGGGTTTTGCCTTGTTGAAAAAACATAAGGAGATGCCAAAAGTTAAAGAGAAGAACAGGCCGGCCAGCCCATCAGTGCACAGTGTCTACCTAAACATTAAGCGACTGTATCGCAGTGTCTGTGCTGGATGTGGGGGCTCCTACATCCGTATTCACTGTTTTTTAACTCATGTCTCATTTCATTCAAAACAAATTCCTGCACTGTAAAAACAAAATAGTGTAACGCTTACGGCCGACAGGCACTGTGTAAGAGCCGGCGTACCAGAGCGGGTGCCTGAGGCCCCGTTGTGTTACAATATAGATATAGCTTAAATTTTACCGTGGACTGGCGTAACCAAAAAAAAGCTTAGAATACAACATGCAAAGTAGGAAGTAGGAAAACAAAACAACACCAGATACAGCGAACTGGGATTATTTCATGCATGAAATATTAGAGCATCACCGCAAATGCACGAGCCCTCGAAGCCCACCCAGCACTACAGGTAAGAGCAATGCCCCGTGTGGTTTTTAATGGTCTGAATTGGGAGGAAGAGTTCAGATCTTTTACTCGGAGGCAGGACACGGATTATCCCATTAAACCGCGCGCACGCCCAGGCCCTTGTCAGCGACAGCGGTGGCGGTCACCTTTCCGGCGGCACTCCTCCTCCCAGGCGGGCTCGTCGAGGGGCGGCGGGGCGATGAGGATGACCCTGTCCGCGGAGACGCCCAGGCTGCCCAGGTGGCGCACCATGCCGCGCAGGTTCTCGCGGTACTCCGGCAGGGGCACGTGCTGCTGGGGGTTCCGCTCTGCCCACGGGGAACACGCGCCGCAGCGCGGGGAGTGAGCACGGCGCCCACGGGCCGCGTCCGGCCCCAGGCAGGGCAGCGACACCGCCTCCCGCAACTCCCACAACCTCTCGGCTGTGCGCGTGTGCGAAGCCGGCGCACGCAGAAAACCGAACAGCGCACAAAACATCACAATTTAAGAAAAAGATAATAATAAAACCCGGTCGTCGATTGAAAAATGCTCAATTGACCACGGGACTGGCTGCGAGAGGCCCAACTTGGCTGTGTGCATTATAATCGCTAGTCGATCATCGATATCTCTGCTCTCGTCGTCTCGGACCTCACTGCTCACGCTCGCTCGGCACTCGGCCGCTTCGACTGGGTTCGCTGAATCGCTGTCCCGGTCTTTTGGATCTCTGTGTTTATATGAGGATGACTATGTTAACCAAAAACATGATCTCAGGTTTACAATTTTACAGGCACTCAATTTAGTGCGCACGAGTTTTTGCCACTGGGGGGGAAAACTTGAAATTTTTGCGCGCACAGGCCATTAAAAATTAGAGGGAGCGCTGGACACAACCCCCTGGACCGAGCGGGGCGGCGGCTTTGCAGAAGCCTTCTTTCTGTCCGGCAGGGGCCGCCGCGCACAAAAGGAGCCCGGGCCACTGGGGCCACATTAATTCAGCAATCGATCATTTTTCCTCAGAACCCAAAGTAAATCTTCTACGATGTTCACGTTCTTCTTGTTTTTCATATGCTCCGTTCCTTTCATCAATGAGTCGGTATTACTGGACACTTTGAAGCACGTTTTTTTAAAGTAAATTTGCTACAGGACCTCTTGTTATCATTTCCATGTTCTTCTTTCTTTTCCACTGTGAGTCGGTTTTACTGGACACTTTGAAGCACGTTTTCGAAAACAAAATAAATGGCGCTACCATGCTCACCTTCTTATCTACAACGAGACGACATTACCAGACACTCTGAAACCCGTTTCTGCGATGGTTTATCCTATAATAATTAATTATCATGGATCATACAGCACAGGCCGACCACTAAGGTTTCATTCCACGCCGAAAAATAGAAAGGACAAACACTGCGTGTGGAAGATTGTCGGGTGTGAAGAAGCCCTGGTCGCCGAAACGTTGCGTTTCTTGTTTCAGTTTTTTCAGCGTTGAATGACCCTTCCTGGTTCCCCTACAGCGAAAGCACGCCAGAACACAGGCAAATTTATCGCAAAAGTAGCCCTGAAACCATTCAACATTTATTTTGGTTAGGTCCCATTGTCCAAAAAAAAAATCTGGACTGATTTGCAAATTTATATTAAAAAAAGAGGCCAATACTGATATTATTTGTCAAGAAATAGACGTTATGTTAAACTTCAACCCCATTGAATAATATGAACCCCTGACGGTGTTACGGATATGTTATCTGTACTCTCGTTTCTATTGTATTTCCTTCTGTTGTTCAAAATAAAAAGTTAAAATAAATGTAAAAATCCTGGATTACACTTTAAAAAAAATATTTATAGTGGCCAAATGGATACTTTAATAGCATCAGCAGAAGTTTCCCCGGATTTAAATCAAGGTTCACTTGCCTTTCAAAGCGCTGTCATTGGCGCCAAAGAAGATGGCGAAGGCAGCGATGTTGCTGGCGTCCACGGTGCTGCTGTTGACGATCCTCGGCAGAACCATCCTGGCCCATCTGGTGTTGTAGCCCGACAGCCCACGGTTGACCACATCGCATTTTCTTTCCGTTAAATCCAAGGAATAATATTTTTTTTTAAAAAAAAGAACCAAGAACAGATAAGAGTGGAGAGATTTTAAAATGAAGTATGGACCTTAAAAGGACGCGGTTTTTTTTTAATGTATCATCCGCTTTGCGTCCTTGAAATAACGGGACCGTAAGCGATACAGGTCACAAACACTGTGCAGTAAGTTTTTAATATTACTGATACGTTTACTTTTAAAAAAACAACATTCTGCAGTTAAAAAGTCTGAAAGCAAACCAGCCAGGCTGAAGGCATATACGACACTACCCAACACCGTGCCCACATGTAAGGGTCCGAGGCCTCCGAGCAGAAACTCACCTGGCGAGTCTGTTGGCTATAGCGGAGCCCCAGCCTTTGGGTTCGAAGGAGAACTACGAAGAGGACAGAGTTGATCTTTATACCTCCGTCTATCAAGTCTCCGACAAAACTAAAGAATAGCCTGGAGGGCTCGGACAGTTAAAGTTTATTAAAAAAATAGCCATAATACCAGGAAAGGGGATTTATCAGTATGTGAAGGGAACAGATGTCTGGGGCATTTAAGAATGAAGTAAAGACCATCAAATTTAACTTCCTGTCTTGAAAAAATACCATGTATATGTAATACTTACGAAAACCACCTCATACCACCACCACTGATTTAAGGTACAGCACTTTCATCTTTTAAAGGATTCCCGGGATGACACACCAATCACATTATATTTATGGATACACATTGATCTGTTTAGGTGGAGATCACACACGTCACGTACGAGAGTAAACACTCCCAAATGTAGGACACACACATATTCTATTGAAATTTGTCGGGCTTAAATGATCACACTGAGAGCCTACCTGGGTGATCGAGTCGCCAAACAGGATAACCTGGGGCCACACTATGTTTTTGATTTTAGACATGACTTAAAACTCAGGATACCGGCGGGCGGCAGGTACTGTTTGCACTGGGGTTTTCTTCCGTCTTTCTCCGCCTTCTGCATCGTTTGCGCCATCTACTGCACGGAGGTCGACAATCGCCTCAAAGCTCCCTCTGCAGTTTTGTTCACTCCTTTATATACATATCAAATAAGGTCAACTCGGAAAAGGCGCGGGGTGGATTCTCTGTGCTCTCCCTGTGTCCACATGGGCATAATTCTGGTGCCCTGGTTCTCCTTTATTTCCAAAAACGTGACGATTAGATCGGCGTCTCTGAATGCTCCATGCCTGCTGCCCCTTTCAGGCTGTAGTCCTGCCCTGGGCCCTGAGCTTCTGTGATTTCAGGCTCCGTGCTGCTACAAACCTTGCCAGAAATAAGCATTTTTCTGATGGTGAACAGGATGCAAGAAACTGTTCTGTTTTGAGAAAACTAGAGTTTTGACTCCCGCGTAAAAGAATGAAACAATGAAAAATGATTTTGCATATTATCCACATAACAATTCCTTGCATTCATATAGAGCTTTTCTGGACACTCCACTCAAAGCACTTCAAAGGTGATGGGGACTCCCCTCCACCGCCACCAGTAGGCAGCCCCAGCTGGGTGATGCATCAGCAGCCATAGTGCACCAGTACACTCACCACACACCAGCTCTCAGTGGGGAGGAGAGCAGAGTGATGAATTGATGAATTAGGAGGCCAGGGGGAACTCTGGCCAGGACAGCAGGGTAACACCCCTACACTTTTCAAGAAACACCCTAGGAATTTTAATGACCACAGAAGGTCATGACCTCACTTTTACATCTCATCCAAAGGCCCCATTTTACAGTATAGTGTCCCCATCACTATACTGCAGCATGAGGACCCACATAGATTGCAGGGTGAGCGCCCTCTACTGGCCCCACTAACACCTTTTACAGCAGCAACCTTAGTTTTTCCCGGGAGTCTCCCATCCAGGTGCCGACCAGGCTCACACCTGCTGAGCTTCAGGGGGCTGCAAGTTGTGAGCTGCAGGGTGATATGGCTGCTTTCATAGCATAACATTTTTATTTTAAAGTTCTCTAATTAGCTTTAACCTCCTGTTGAGCTCCAAATGTTTTCATATGGACATGCACCACCCTATGAAAGCCAAGTTCTGTATATGAAACATCAAATTTACCTCCTTTCAGCAGGTAAGAATGAACACTTCGCTCTTACATATAGAGATAAACCCAGTCTAATGATAAAAGCCATTGATGAGGCAGACTTTGTGTGGACATATAATACTGAATACAGAGAGAATAGAGACCACAGTGTAGCTGCATGTGTTTCTTTCAATCTTTTGCTTAATATGCAAAGGCTTAAACATTTAAAAAAAAAACAGGAATTACCTTTTCACGTTTTCAAACTGCATTGAAACCATTACCAAAAATTAAAAAGTAAAAAAGAACACAGCCTCGGTAAAACTTATTTTAAATACTCTATACTGTATTTAAAATATTCTTATCAGTACCGGTGACACACTATTGAAAAATCAAAAATGTAGTCCAAGGCTCAAAATGAATAAAAATCAAGTATCTTATAAGTAGAAGCCAACTTTTTATTACGAATTTAAACATTTCCAACAAAAACGAACAAATAGTTAAACAACATTCTTGCTGTTTGAAAACGCAACATATGAATTTTGTGAAAGAAAATCACCACAAAAAAAAAAAAACAGGCAGTTGAGACAGGCTTTATGAGGTGTTGAACCGTGAAACGCGGCTGCCGCCCCAGCCCGACGGCGCGGAGCGGGGGTTGAGGGTCGGACCTCCGGCGGAGAAAGGAGTTCGGTCCCGCGGCCTGAGAGCCGGCCTCCTCCTCACAGAGCGGGGTTGAGGGCGTCATACAGCCGCTGCACGGCGAGCTCCACCATCTCCTTCAGCGACTCGTCCTCCGCGCTGCCCTCCTCGTAGGTCACCGTCTGGGGGGAGGGAGACAGCGGCGCAACACGGCGTCTGAGACACGGGCGCGCCTTCGCACCCGCCGCGACTGATCTCGGAAAACTTTCCGAGATCAATGGAGCTACACTCTGCCGCCCTGTACTGCCAGCGACCGTAGTTTCAGAAACCCAGACCGTTCTCCTCCATCCCCCGTGAAGAGGAACCACCGCCGATGAACGCCGTTTCATGAACTTTCCAAACGAGCTTCATGACGAGCTACTAGTCTCTGGATGGAACCAAAATTCATGCAAAATTCTCGTACTGCAATTAAACAATAAATTAACCCTTCATGAACAGTGCAGTACATGTTCTGGGATCCCTTGTCCCTGTACCGGCTGCAATATCTTTTTTTTACCCATTTCTTTATTAATATAACTTACTTTAGTGCAAAAAGTCAGTATCTTTCCCCTGTGCCATGTGTCTTACAGGAAGGTCTCAGATAGGTTAAGAGTAAGCCTATAGAAAACAAGAATGCTATCCAGTACTTATTCCATATCATTAACTATGGGGGGGAAATTGTTTTATACTCGTAACATATGCCTTATACTGAATGTGTATGTAGTTTTGATTATATCCTCAAAATACATCGAGTGTAAATGCTCAGTGGAATTCTGATCTATATTAGCAGTGAAATGGCAGGATTTTAGCTTTTTATATTTTATTTTCACAAGCCCTAGTCTTTGATTTTCATGCTGAGCATTTTTGTATTTATCTTCTTGCTTTTTTGTTTTTAGCTTCTCCTTTTACACACTCGGTCCTTGGTTCTAAAAACAACCTCACTTCAGCACACAGCCCCCTCAACCTGATTCAGAGATTCCTTTCTTATTTCCGTCTAGAACAGTTCTTAATAGGTGATCAACTGGCGATGAAGAAACACTGATGGGAAAGACTCCGTATCAGCTACTCCCTCAGCGTGTTTTTGTTTCTCCTTTCTGTTCAACAAGCGACAAGCCTGAATGACAGGAGTTCTGGAACTCGTAGCAGGATTGATATCAAACCCAAATATCGAGGGGCTCAACCAGGACCAGCACTTGTAAGCCAAGCTCTCCAATCGCGGGTCGTGTCACTAGCTGACTGTGACTGGGATTGCCCGACCATGACTGGGCTTCCCCATGCAGCCATGTGCAATGGGCTGGGTGCTGCCACTGGCAGGCTGGGATTAGTCAGCCAGGGCTCTCCTGGCATGGGGACCTGCTGGACCATATATTGTACTTCCAGCATTCGGCCGTGGGTATTTTAAAAATGGCTTAAAAACGGGTTGGGTCAGAGGAGACTGTCTACGCTTCCACATTCTTCTCTGTGGGTGTGGGTGGTCACAGGGTTCGTACTACTAGCTGAGACACACACGTGCTGTTCCAAAAGAGGGTAGGTATAACAAAGACATAAAAGGGATTTAAAAAACAAATCCAAATTTAAAGAGATGAAAGCAAATTAAAAGTATACCTGATGTAGAAAAGTAAAATCGATTAGCCTGTTTCTCTCCATACAGAAATAATCTCTAGTGCAATTCATTGTAGGTGATCTGTACTCTTAGGTCAAAGGTTGCGCCTCCTGCCTTCAATATAAAATCTAAGTGACTCACTCGTGTCTCCAGCGAGATGTAAGCCGTCTTCCCATCCACGGTCACGGCCACGTTTTTGTCCTCTTTTACCTCAACACAGTCATCTCCAAACATGTCCCTGCGATTCAAATAAGGAAGACAAAAGAAGAATTGCTATCGCGTCCCATGATGCCTCATGTCCTTCTGAAAGTGTTTGTCTGCAAAGTCCTGGGAGGCCTCAATACAAGAAGTGAGGGTATTCCCCTCAGCAAAGTCAGGCTTCAGGCTCAGCTTCTCAGTCTTTTCTCAACAGGAAATGCACAATTCCACATGTCATTTGCATGTGTATGTGTCATTCGCAACCCAGCTCTGGTAGATAAACTGGAAATCTGAACGTGAACACAAGGAGGAATTATTTAAAACTGATTTATTTTTTATTTAGACCCTCGTCTGTACAAAAAAAAAAAGTGTTTGCTTACTGTAGCATAACTTCCAGTCTCTTCTGGTAAATCTCCATGTCTACCTTCCCTCTTTTAGTGGTCTCCAAAACTGTGGATGAAAAGAACCTCCTCTTGAAAAGAAGTACGCAGTACAATCACAAGGTCCCGGCACCCCCGAGGCACTTGGGAAAAAAAACTGCACAAAGTAGGATAAACCAAAGCTTGATGGCCATTCCCTCAGGAACGCCAGCAACTTTTCAGACTTGCTCATTAAAATCCACACCTGTACCACAAAACTGATTTGTTTTTTTTAGAATTGACGTCCATTCGAAAAAAAAAATCAATTGTCTTGATTTCTCCAATAAACCCATTGTCCCTCCCCCATCCACCCTCAACTAGCAAAACAAACTGTTATTGGCTTAGCGGAATTAAAAACAGAATATACAAGTTACGGGCTCCCTGTGAATCCCACACTGCAAAATCACCTTTTCTCTCCACAACCAGCCAAACCAGCCACAGAACCCAGAACCTCCCAAAAATATATACACCTCTTCCGTTCCAATAACTTCATTGTAGTTACGTCCTCTCCCTTCCTACTTTTTATTTTTCTCTTCCCTTATCAATTTCCTTCCCTTCTCTTTTCCTCTCCTTGTTCCTTCTTTCCCTTTCCCCTTCCGCCAGGAGCTTTAGTCGTGCGCTCCCCGAAGACGGGAAAACTCGCCTTTCTTCACATCCCGGAAGAAAGAGGCACGAGCTCAATCAAACACGGACGAGACCGGTAATAACACACCGATACATTTCGATGGACAATTTTCAAGGACACTCTTGAGTCAATCTGACCTTTCTGAGCTTTGGGGTTGGACTGAACTTCCAGGACCACAGTAGTCACCGTATCGGCATACATGTCATTCAATGGGTTTGCAAGCCACTGAAAAAGAAAACACAAGCACAAAAATTCTCAATTATTTAAGTATCACTTCCATCTGCTAGCTTGGGTCAGACATGGGCTCTTCCCACCCAGGCTTCACTGCAACGCCTTGACTGAGAGCAGTCATCTCCACATAAATGAGGGGATATCAATCGTGTAAAAATACATTCGCTAACCACCGTGAATCACTGGCGAGTCTCTGAAGACACCGGTTTTCCAGTGTTAATCTAGTTTGCATACAAGAAAGACCTAAGAACTTAGAGAGCTCTTTTAGGGAGCATGTTTTTCTAAAAGTAAATCACTTTAAGGCTAGCAGGCAGAAGAAACGGACTGCTGCTTGCACTTTTATCGGTCTGGACAAAGCACAGCTGCAAGAGCAGGACACCAAGCTTCATGCAAAGCTCACTTTTCTGATGTTCTAGGCAATGCCTTTATAATGACAAAGAAGACTTGCTGTAAGCTTTGTTAAAAAGACTGGAAGTAGAAGCAAACACCATAAAAATGTTTTTCTCTGAGCCTGGCTCTACACAGACAGTGCATTCTGAAACATCAGACATTCTTCTATAAACAGTAAGTCCTCAGTCTGGAAGGAGTGAAGCTCAAGAAGTGTCAAATGCATCATGGCTTAACTATTTAAATAAAGCTCTGTAGGAGCCGCCTCTCCATACTCACCTCCAGTACCACCATTCCTGCCTCGTACACTAAGACGATGTTCTTGAAAATCTTCAAGGTTGGCCGGTCCAGGGTGTCTATCTCCTCCACATCCCCTGACACGGAGGAATTGGGACATCATGTCATGTGAAAACCGTGACATCCCACCACAGAGCAAGACGAAATATGTATAAAGCCAAACACGGCCGCTGAGAAACTGCACAGCAGAAGTTAACTAGAGGGAAGTTCATTTCAAACTGAGGACGGGGCACTTTGTTTTTTATACACCAGCTCTCGACGGTCCAGAGAGACTGACTGGTCTCCTCTCGTATGTAAAACGACTTGTGTTTTTACAAGGCACAAAGGAGTCTTGTAGGAGACTGTAAGAAATTACACAGCACTGTTGTTGAGGCTTGTATCACGGTCTGTCCATCAGTGGTCCTCAGATCAACCAGATTCTAAAAAACAAGCAACCTAGATGTTGGACCTCAAGCTCTAATAGGCTATCGGCAGAGATGCCCTGTGAATTGGGTTCATCAAGGTCCGAGTGCGATTCCCCACACGCAGGAAATACAGGGAAAGACTACTTCTGGTGCCCCACAGCGTCACTTACTAAATCCCGATCCACCAGGACACTGGGTGTGAAGAGCTTTACAGCACTGAACCCTTGCTAAGGAATCCTAACAACTAATCCTGGTGGGAAAAGGTAAAGACAATATAAAAAACAAATTAAAAAGGGCCTTGGAACTATTTCAAAATCTCTTCTTTTGGGGTACACACTTCACAGGCTGTTTTAATCTATGACATAAATGTCTACTTTACCACTGTCAAGAAACTTTTACAAAAGTCATTTAGGAAATTCTGTATTTTGTTCTTGCAAGACCTACAGTATCTCGAACACTGCTTTTCAAATTCCTTCACACAGCAGCTCAAATAAGGACCCACCAGCAGCACTTCATGAAGTTTTAAACTGAGGCCTTAGTCACAGCTTTATTTTGTGGAATCCTGACATGGAAAACGATAACGCGGTACCCCCCCCGCCAGATTAACGCTGCATTGCTGTAAGTGCTCGAGGGTTTGGGGGGTAGCTCACAGACCTGCCAGGCTGCGGAGCTGGTTCACCAGTAACGAGTAGGGTCCTGTGAAGGGGATGGCCTGGGTCTGTTTGACTGTGCTCACAGACAGATCTGTGTAATCTGAAAGACAAGAAGTCGCATGAGTGGCCGTGGCCGGCGCGGTGTGCGTAGTGGTGAAAAGAAATGAGAAAAGGCCACGTCAGCAGTGACCTCCCTACTGGCAGATCATGGCGCTACTCACTGGACAGGTCGGAGGACGTGAGGATGTGGTAGTTGAAGTTGCGTTTCACTAGGATTCCTGACACCCTCTGCCCCTGTTCACACTTTTTGTCAGCCAGGCAGCCCATAACCTATATCAAGAGGTTAGAAACAAAAAAAAAAACAAGGACACGCTAAAGTGAGACTTCACATCTGAGCTCCTATAAACACGCATCATCTACTTTAAATAACCAGACCGACAGACACGAAGCTGGGTGGCACATCACCAATTACCATTTTAAGCATCATCATGCTGTACTGCGGAAGATACAGGATTTCTACATTTCTAAACAATACTAGGTTCAATGCCTGTTTTAAGAAACAGGTCTTAACGTTTATTTTCACTAGATGATGGTCACAGAACAGTCCCCTTCGGAGTTTTACGGGAACAAGCCCCGTTCGAGCTCTTCCTTCAGCTGGTCTAGACTTCTCTGTGCTCCAAGGACTTCACGTCGTAGATAAGATAAGATCACTTTATTGGCCATATACAGTTTCTTGCATTAGGAATTTGTCTTTTCCCATACCCCAGCTTGCTCTCCATGAGACACACAGACACACAGATGCAGACAGGGAGAGAGAAGCTTGGGGTCAGAGCGCAGGGTCAGCCATTGTACAGCGCCCCTGGAGCAGTTGGGGTTAAGGGCCTTGCTCAGGGGCCCAAAGGAGTAGGATTCTTCTGCCGGCTGCGGGATTTGAACCGGCAACCTTTCCAGCCACAGGCGCAGATCCCGTACGTCCCGTACTTTTCAGCAGCAGCCCCTCGCCTTTGGAATGATCTTCTTGACTATAGTACCACCCTCTTAAAACGCCTTTAACTTTCACCTCAAAACTTACTTACTTTCCGAGGCCTACAATTCTAAATCCATCTTTTTAACAACACATTTGTAAATCTTATTGTTTTGTGCGGCTGACGGTACTTTGTCAGCTGGTGAAAGGAAAGTGGAAAGTGTCTTGACAATGCCGCAGAAGGACATAATGGATTGAGGGGCGGATTGATTTATTGAGCGATATGGAGACACGCGATGCCACCCTCCTCTCCCGCAGTGGAGGCCTCACCTTGGCCAGCTTCTCCCCTCTGAAGTTGAGGGCCACGGCCTCGGTGTTGCGGGGGTTGTGCACTTCGATGTGGACCTCGTCGTTGTCCTCATACTCTCGGATCAGCGCCGCCTTCAGCCGGGCCATCTCGTTCTGCTCCCCGTGGACCAGAATCTGCAGGCGGAAGCACGTTCACCCAAAGACCGGCCCTGCGGCCCGAGCCGGGAGCTCACAGCAAGAGAAACTGGAACAGGGGGCACTACCCCCCGGCCCTTTTAGAATCAGTCGACTTCCCACGTGACAACGCTCCCCACAGCGAATAATGGCTTTGAAGACACTCGAATACACGGGGCATAAGATGTTGAATTAACTGCTGAACTTTGTTATGCTGAATGAGACGGGCCCCCCTCTTGTGTGCGGACTTTCTTATAAGACTCCTTGTGTCATAAACGTGCTGTTGATCAATTCATTGTGACATAAACAAATATACTTTTTGTCTATTTTAAGATATTTACTGCAGCAGATGTAGGAGTGCACAGGCGGAAATAGGGTGGTGTGCAATCAATAGGAAATCTATCTTTGGGTTTCTCGAACCGATGCTCAGTCAACACCAGAACATATGCTCAAGGTTAGACAGCTATGCTAGTTAGGGTTGCATTACAAAGATACACACAGTGCCTACAGCAAGTCTAGACAGGACTTGGAAACCTTTCTGTGTTGTGGAAGGCAAGTGGTTACACTAGAGCTCATTTACAACTGCTATAACTATAAGTATAAGGCATGTATACACTTACCCAACCCATTTTTCTGGATTTTAATTTAGAATTACTTTTCACAATGTCTGAGCATTTTTCTTTCACTTAGAGATCATGTGTTACAATGTGTAAATGAAGGTAAAATAATTTCTGATTGAACAGGTCTTGATTTCAGGGTGTGAGGTCAGAAAACGCGTTACAATGGGAAGAGAGTATAAACTCTCTAAGGCACTGTATCTTTGTTCAAAGGACAATGTGCAGAGGTCACACCATTTATAAAAAATGGTCAACAGAGATTCATTTTTCTTGGGAAACTGAGCCGTTTGAAGGTAGATCTATAACTACAGAACTATATGAACACCTTTCAAGAGTCATTTATTGAAAACATCTTAAAATATCGGTCTCACTTGTTGACTTGGCAACATATCAACAAGTATCGTCAGTTGTAATAGGTTGAGAAAATGAGTGAAAATAAGTAGCAAAATAATAGAGCCAAATCAAATCAACTTAAATATCCCCTACCAACAGGGGGTTGTAAAGAGGGCATTATGCGCCGTGTGCCACCCCCTCCACTGTGAAATCACACCTCTGTCTCCCCAGATGTAACGGTAAAAGACACAGGAAATCTTCCAACCCCCCCCCCGCGACCTCCCTCTCAAACGATGTCAATACCTCTCTTATTTCCTGTAACCCTACTGTACTGTCTGCTTTGTTGGCGATGTCTGTCTTTCACGTATTGCTGTACCGGACTGTGCCATAAAAACAACCCCCCCCCCCCCCGAGGACGGATGACAGGGCTCGCAGGGGACCGCGTGGCCGCGCTCGCGCCGCGCGAGGGAGAGAGCGGGTTTACCACGTGGGGAGGCTTGAGCGCGCGGATGAACTCGCTGGTCTGCTGGTAGTCGGTGTGAGCAGAGAAGGAGATGTAATCCACAGACATCTTCAGCGGCAGCTTCTGGCCGGACATGGTGGTGATCTCCTCTGGCTCGGACATGATGTGCTGCACAGAACACGGACACTCCCGTGAGGCCAGACCGAGCCTGACTGGACCAAAGTCGCCCCAGCATCCCCAGTTTAGACACTGAGCTCAGTGTTCTGGGACATTCTGGAGCTAAAATGTCAAAACCACCGCGTATTTATTTTAATGACATGGGACAGAAGTGTTCAAATCCTGTCCTTGTGATACCCCCCAGTTTTATATTACTCAGATGGCCTCCATTTTCTAATCGCCTTATCTAATTCAGGGTTGTGGGGGTACCAGAGCCTATCCCAGCAAGCAACAGGCGCAAGACAGGGTACACCCTGGAGGAGATGCCAGTCCATCGCAGGGCACACACAGACACAAACACAATCACACCTGGGCCAATTTTCCCAGAAGCCAATTAACCTACTACCAGTATGTAAACTCCACGCCGACAGCACCCTAGGAACTGAGCTCTGGGCTCCAGAGCCGCGAGGCAGTAATGGTAGCCAGTGAAACTGCGTGGTACGCCACGGGTGTCTTTTTATCGTTTCAGATTTTTTGTTACTTAACTGACTGCAATCAAGCTATCATAAAGCTTTTATGGGGGAGGGAGGGAGGGTTTAAACAGTCCCGGTAGGACTGGGAAAAAAGGTAGGACTCCATTTCTCAAGAAAATGGGAATCGAACCCGTGCGAGACAAGCATGACCCGCACACAAAAAGACAGGCAGGTGTGGACCTGGCCACTGCGCTAGTGTCCGGAGAGGACAGGAAAACACAGCGCCGAGGGTCATGAAAAGCAACATGAATTCAGCTATTACACCGGGGCTTTTATTAAAAAGGGAGAAAAATAAACGCCAACAAAAGTCACTCCTAAGATGGATCTTCTCCAAACTGGTAAAGAGTTTCTTCGCATTGCGTACAAATTGCGGCCTGTAAAGACACAGTTCGCCGTCTGCCTACCCGAGATGGAAAGGGACAGGACAGATACCACAGGCTCCAACAAAGCCCACTGTTATTTCTGCAGCCCAGCTAGATCTAGCCTCACCTTGGCCAGTGTCCCTTCAACACAGTAGCCCGCGATGATGACGCCATTCCTCTTGTCGGTGCACCAGCTCTCGAACAGCTCCCGAGACAGGCCGCTCTGCATCATGCCCGGAGAGGCCATCACCACGCTGGGGCCGATGTCATCGAAGTGATCCATACTCTACGGGCAAGACAGAGCCCCGGCTGAGACCATCGCTCACTGCCACTCCCTGAACCCTTACAGCGCACAGCCAAGACTGAGGGGGACTTGAAATATAAGATAATTAAACATTGTGATTCTAGAGTTTTAACGGATACATGCCCTTCACTCTGGACTGAAATGGACTGAACTAGGTTGGACTAGACTTGACTGCAATGGACTGGACTGCAATGGACTAGACTGCGATGGACTAGACTGCGATGGACTAGACTGCGATGGACTAGACTGGAGTGGACTAGACTGGAGTGGACTAGACTGGAGTGGACTAGACTGGAGTGGACTAGACTGGAGTGGACTAGACTGGAGTGGACTGCGATGGACTAGACTGGAGTGGAATGAAATGGACTAGACTGGAGTGGAATGAAATGGACTAGACTGGAGTGG